ATTGTCTGTAAGCACGAGGACGTGTCTCCTCGTTACTAGGTGTGAGAAATGACGGAGGGCCAGGTGTATGGCCCGGAGCTCTAGCCAGTTGATGCTGTGTGACAGGTCCTTTTGACCCCACTGGCCCTGTGCTATCTGGGTCCCCAGATGGGCTCCCCATCCGAACAGGCTCGCATCTGTCGTGAGCGTGACCCTGTTCGGTTCCCTGAATATGCTCCCCTTGAGTGTCATGGGGGATAGCCACCATTTTAGTGATTTCATCACCTGTGCTGGTACCAGCACACTCCTGTTGGAGGTGCTGAGGTTCCTCCTCTGGTAGGGTAGGAGGAACCACTGCAACTCCCTCGAGTGGAGCCTTGCCCATGGGATGATGCCCATGCAAGATATCATCTTTCCCAGGAGCTTCGAGAGTTGTAGCAAGGGCACTCTCCTGATCTTTTGAATTTGGTGGATTAGCTTGGATATGCTGATCAGTCGCTCCTGGGAAAGGAATACCCTGCACTGTGACGTGTCTATCACCGCGCCCAGGTGTTGCAGTCTCCTTGAGGGAATGAGGTGGCTCTTGTTTAGATTGACCGAAAATCCGTGCCCCTGTAGGGTTCGGATTGTGGTCTTGAGATCTGTCCTTGCTTGTTCCCGAGATCTGGACTGAATCAAGATGTCGTCCAGATAAAACTGGACGCGAACCGGAATCAACCTGAGATGGGCCGCTAGTACAGCTAAGATCTTTGTGAATACCCTTGGTGCTGACGACAGTCCGAAGGGTAATGCCCTGTATTGGTAATGTCGCCCCGCGTAGGTAAATCTGAGGAATTTCCGGTAGCTGGGGTGGATGGGGATGTGTAGGTACGCCTCTGTGAGATCTATTGAGGATAGTAGATCGTCTTCCCTGACGCTGGCTAGTATGGACTTTAAGGAGTGCATCTTGAACCTCCTGTACTTTATGAAATAGTTCAGGCCCTTCAGGTCCAAGATTGCTCTCCACCCTCCTGATGTCTTTGGGATGACGAAGAGGATAGAGTAAAATCCTCTTCCCTCCTCCTCCTTTGGTACCTTCTCTATGGCCTGAATTGACAGGAGGTGGACTATAGCCGAAGTTATCAGCCTCGTCTTGTGTGCTCTTCTGGAGATGGGACATCTGATGAACCGGTTTGGTGGGGGAGAGCAGAAGTCTAAGGTCAGGCCATGTCTGATCGTTTCCAGGACCCAGGAGTCGGTCGTGGTCTGCTCCCAGACCCTGATGAAATTTCCTAACCGACCCCCAATGGGAGTATCCTGTTTGGCGTCACTTGGTGCGTTTAAAGGATCTGCCTCCCGCTCCCCTATATGGGCGTCTGGACTGGAACTGGCCCCTGGCTCCCGGGCTCTGGCGATCCTGGGTTCGATCCTGTCTGGGGTAGAAGGATCGTGAGCCTCTGGGCCAGTCCCAGGATTGCCCTGATCGAAAGGGCTGCCTCCATTCCCAGGGGCTTCCTGGGCGGGAACCCTGTCTCCGGAAGTCCTGACTGCCTCTCCTGTCTAACTTCTTTGATGGGTGTACTAGGATTTTTTTCTTGTCTCTGCCTTCGCTGACATGTGGGTCCAGAATGGAACCAAATAGGTCTACTCCACTGTATTTGGACGTCGAAAGACGCCATTTGGACCTCAGGTCTGTCTTCCAATTTTTGAGCCATAGTAGCCTACGTGAGGCCACTGTGGCCGCAATGGATCTAGCCGCATACTTTGTTGCGTACAGTGAAGCGTCTGAGACAAATTGCGAGGCCGCGAGGAGCTTGGCCAATGTTTGGTGTATTCTGACCTGGTCTGGAGGCACCGTGCCTTGCAGTTCCCTCAGCCACATGATGCTGGCCCTCGCGAAGAAAGATGAGGAAGTGGCTGCTCTGGCCGCCCAGGCTGCAGCCATATGGGAACGCCGGAGTGAGTGTTCAAATTTCTTCTCCTCAGGCCTCAAGACCTCCGCCATGTCTCCTGGAATCGCGGAGGTAGAAAATAATGAGATTAATGGGTTATCGACAGTGGGAACCTCTAACATGTTAGAGAAGGAGGGAGATAGATTGAAAAGCTTTCTTTCCGCGCTGTTTGGTGCCGGTGGGCTTGCAAGTGAGGACCATTGTTCCTCCAGCGTGGTCATGAAGACCTCCGCACATGGGATGTACTTATCTTGTGGAACCTTTTTGGCAAACAGAGGATTGGCCTCCTTGCTTGTTGAGGGCTTCTCATCCTGTACTGATGTTAGGTTGACTGTGGAAACAGCCTTTACCAGGAGTGATTTTAGGAGCGCTGGGTTAAAGAGTCCAGAGCTCGTTGCCTGCTCAGGTGCCGTCTCCTCGTCCTCCGAGAGGGGCATGTCTGACATGTCGAGGTCCACTGAGTCACCCTCTCCCAGTTGAGAGGAAGTTTCAGAGGTGCTGGTAGGGGGTGGCCTAGCCCGACCCTTACGGGGTGTGTGAAAGGCCACTTGTCCCTTAGAAGCCATGAACTGGGAGAATGCATCCTGCATGAATGCATGGAATTGTGCCGACCAAATGCCCTCCTGCGCTTTGTCGTTAGAGTGAGGCGCTGGGGTGCGGTCGGGTGAAGAAGCTGGTGAGGAGGGGTTGGAGGAGTCTAACTGTTCAGTTTCCCCAGGAGGAGACCAAGTCTTAAGCACTTCCTCGGCAGTAGGGTCTGTGCTGGGTGCCACCGCTGGGACAGGGGAAACCGAATTTGTCCCATTGGCATTGGTTCTCTGTGCCCTGCTAATTTGTCTTTCTAAAGCCAAATGTCTCCTCAAAGCCTCTCGCTCAGCCGTTTTAGACTGTCCCTTCTGAGAAAGGTGTTTTGTTTTAGCTTTCTTCTTCCCCCCCACCTCAGATTCAGAAGATCTGCGTTTTTGTTGTTGCTGTGGGGGGGACAATTGAGGGACCTGTGTGACTGAATACGAGACATTGTCTGCCATTGTGCCAGACACCCCGAGTAGGTAGTGCCTGGAGTGGGGGACAGGATACGCAGATCAGATGCAGATGTTTGGGGCTGAGCCCTCCTCTGCCTATACAAACAATGGCCGGACAGACAGGAGTCTTTGGACAGAAGATCCTGCAAGGCAGTGACTAAAGGTCACTATAGGAACAGTCAGAGAAAAATACTCCTCCTCACCTCCTCACTTAGTCCAGAGAAAGTGCAGTTTATACCTCTCTCTCCCCCTGTCTGTGGCTGTGGCAGCAGACCACGATCAGAAAGGGTTCTCTTCCTTTTCCCTCTTCCTTCCTCCTGTCTCAGTTTCTTGCGATAATCCCGGATTTTAGCTTAAGGGCTGCCCCTTTGTCTGCAAAGGAATGGAGTCCGGATGGCCCCGCCCCCAAGGGAAAACGGCGGGAAGGTCCGTTCGCTCAAAATGGCGAATGGGGAAGAAACCACGCCTCCTAATGTTAGCCCGGGAATCCACGAGGTTCAAACAATGGCGGATCTTTGACTCTGAGGCTCTCGCGCCGCTCCGCTGGTCCTATCGCCCGAACCGCTCAGCTGTTTGGCGGCCCCGGAGAGCGGCGAGCAATCCGGTAGTGAAACCCCCGCCCCAACAGCTGCTCGGTGGGCCGGTTATCGGCGGGCGAGCGATCCGGTCCGGCTCCAAGCCTCCCGTTAGTCCCTGACGCCCCACTCACGAATCCGCCGATCCCGGCTGCCTCTCTCGAGTCCTATCCGCTGCCAGACAAATTTTCGTTCAACTGGAGGAAGAGGGGATTCCCTTTTTTTTTTTTTTTTTTTTTTTAAGTTAAGTTAGTTTGTTCTGAGAGCTGCTTCTCGCACTTCTACCAGGCTTCGAGACTGAGTCAAAACTGGGGTCACGCCCAAAGGAAGGGGTGTGGCCGAAGTTTTTACCCAGTCTGCCAGGCAGGAAGGCCGTCATAGAACCCATCCATTTGGACTCTACAGTCATCCTGCTGGAGAAAGGAACGTTTCAAGTTTAAAATGTTTTGCTCATCCAGCCTTAATATCCTTCTGATGATTTAATCGGCAGGAATTTTAGGATTTAATACAGGTAATCCTTGAACTTACAATCACTCGTTTAGTGACCATTCAAAGTTACAATGGCACTGAAAAAAGTGAGTTATGATCGTTTTTCACACTTAACAATCGTTGCAGCATCCCTGTGGTCACATGATCAAAATTTGGATGCTTGGCAACTGCCATATATTTATAAGGATTGCAGTGCCCTAAGGTGATGTGACCGCCTTTTGCAATCTTATGACAACGGAGTCAGAAGTCAGTCAATGGAGAAGCCAGATTCACTTGGCAACCATTTTACTAACAACTGCAGTGATTCACTTAACAACTGTGGCAAGAAAGGTCATAAAATGGGGCAAAACTCACTTAACAACTGTCTTGCTTAGCAACAGAAATTTGGGGCTCAATTGTGGTCGTACGTTGAAGAACTACCTATACAAGACATGACCTTGCCCAATGAGATAGTAAGAAAAATCCAAGATTAAAAGGCCAGAGATAGTTGATGAGAAGAAGAGAGCAGACTCAGCTCTAGCTCCGACTGACAAAGTCCCAGTCACTACAGTTACCTGAACTTTTTTTCAGTGATCTGCAGAGATTACTGAAGGGATGCCCTTTTATTCTGTTAGGATGCATCCAGTAGTTCACCTCCTACAATTCTGTATAATTTATTATTGTATGACATAGCAATTCATGTTAGTTTAATCCCTAAAATGAAGAACAGCAGGATTAACAGATGTTCTTGCATTATGAGTTGCATCATCCTTAACCAGTGGAAATTTGAGTTGAAGTTTATGGAGATGGACTACAACATCTGAAAGGTCAGCAGGTCATACTCAATTTTAAAGCATAAATAGCACTATTAAAAGGTCTTAAGGCAATTAAGTTTTCTTCAATATTTTTCAGTATATAAAATCTTTCCCTTTATTATTTCACCAGTTTGACATAAAGCAAATTACACAACTGCCCTTTTTAAAAATTTTGGTAACAGATTCCATCGAAGGAATAAGTGTGCAATGTCTCTTTACAATATTATTTTTATTTTTTCTTGGTGCAATGAGTGTGTGCTTATTTACAAGACACAATGCATGCCTCATGTCCAATATTAACAAAGAATGGAGTCATTCTTGACCTCAAATTATTCATGAAACACAATTTTTCCTAACCTGGTGCTCCTTAGAGTTCATAGACATCAAGAGTGAGAATTCCAAGCCAGCGTGGACCAACTGATATTTTTTCATCTCTTTAACCATTTGAGCTATGACCAGACTCGTGAGCTTTCCTTGAATCTGAAGATGAGTGGGCCATCAGCAATCCTGACCCTTTAGTACTGCCAGGCTGGGAAACACTGAGATGTGAATGACCAAGTTGGAGTGGAAGAGTTTCAGTAATGTCATTTTTAGGAGTTGTCCTATGACATACACAAAAAGAAACATTCTATATTGAGACACATAATATAAAAATCAAACAGTGAAATGAACAAATATAAAAATAAACACCTTTTAAACAGCGTATGGGATGCAATGAGTAATGTACACAGGTCACATGCTTTGTATGTATGATGCACAAACTCCGTATTTTCATTTAAAGATCTTGTGCAACAGAGAAGGAAACCAGCTCTAATCTTCAGATGGGACATATACTACTGCTCAAAATGAATGAAGTAGATTATAGAGTCATAATTGCCAATTCTACTTTGCCAATGAATCCAGAGCCCTGGTGATAACTATTAGGACAGTGCAAGAAAGGTAGGTCTAGCACTTTCTGATAAGTCCCTTTGTTTTCAAAATTATCAACTTCTTCCCAGTCTCTGGCAGGGACGAGTGGGATTTTGGAAATATGAATCCTTATATCAAGCAGCATATGCTGCTCTTTTGCAAGCTCTTTTGCAAGCATTTTCCACTCTGAGTTTCCAAAACTTGAAACAGACAAGAACCAGGAGAAAAATTCTGACATTAGAACTCTCTTATGAATTTGGAGGCCTTTCTTCAAATTCAAAGAGAAATCCAATTACAGTAGTCCTTGACTTATGACCACAATTGAGCCCCAAAATTGTTAAGTGAGGTTTGCCCCATTTTACAATCTTTCTTGCCACAGTTGTTAAGTGAATCACTGCAGTGGTTAAGTTAGTAAGACAACTTTTAACTGAACTTGACTTTCCCATTGACTTTGCTTGTCAGAAAGTCACAAAAGGTGCTCAAATGACACGGAACACTGCAACCATCATAAATACATATAAATACATACAGTTGCCAAGTGTCCAAATTTTGATCATGTGATCATGGGGATGCTACAATGATTGTATTTGTGAAAACAGTCATGGGTCACTTTTTTTAGTGCTGTTATAACTTCGAACAGCCACTAAAACAAATGATTTTAAGTCGATTGTTGCAGCCTCAGTAATCAAGTAGATACTTATTATTATGGCACAGTCTCATAATTTCCCAATATCTGATATAGATTAAGACCAGAAACCCCATGGTTATTATGTTTATTAGAAATAGGTTTTGCTATAATGTGATTAGAAAATCTCAGGGATAACAAGCTAACTGTTAAAATAGAACCATATATAATTTATTTATTTAAAAAATTTATAGTGCCACCTACCAGCACATGGCGACTCAACAATACATTATAGTACTCATACCCTATGTAGCCTCACTGTGGAAGAAGATTAATTTTACAAATGAGTAACTGACCTAGGGACCTCAGACAGTTAAACCACTCTCACACATATTAGAGTCTCTGCTCTAGTGATTTATTTAACTAGGCCTCTGAATCAAGATAGCTCACTTTTCATTCACAGTGGTCATTCCTATCTGAAACATTACACTGTAGCTCCAAACTCCAAAACTGGTTGCTGGAGAAGGGTGGATTTGTCTGTTTCAGTTTTCTATTTTTATTCATTCAACTGTTCTTGCGTTAGTTTTGGTCTACTTCCACAATACTTTATGCACATATTATAAAAATCCCACACTAACATTTATGGCTATTCTGCTGCCTGTTTCCTAATACATGGCATTTTTATGTCCTTTTCTCTCCTATAAACACTTTTGGAAAATGATCCCAAATAAACATTTTATAAACAATTCATTTTATTGTGTCTGACCAAATTACCCTGCCATTGTCTAACGGCGAGCAACCTAAACTATTATTTGGGTATTTTGGCCATATAAACATTTACTATCACTGCATCTAACATTTTATGTTTTGTGCCAAAGTGTATAGATCTTTCTTTGTTTTAATGTCTATGCCTAGCACAGATGTATTTTCATGAAACATATTTATCTGCATTTTTGCTACTTTTGCAGTTAGTAACAAGAACATGCGGTAGTTGGTATGAACTAAAGCAAAAACCTTCTTACCTTTTTTCAGCTACTCTCTTCATGCTTTCAGATAAGCTGGCAATATCTTGCTTGTTGTCTCCTTTGCTCTCTTGTTCTTGATGTTCCACAGGCACTTTAGGGCTGGATCGCACTTGTAACATGCTTTGTTCACTATGAGGAAACCCTTCTTCCTCCACTCTCTGACTACGTACTACATCTGCTTCCAACAATTTCTCAGATGCTTCTGGACAACTTTTCATCTCAGTTAAAACTTCATGGCTTAAGTAATCATGGTTAGCAATGGCCACTGCAGAAGTCCCATGATTGCTTGTAGCACCCGTACTAGTCCCCATTGATTTTGAAATCACTTTCAGTTTGTGAGAACTGGATTTGTAGTGTTTCTTTTTATGCTTTGCTTTAGAGTTGTGTTTTAAGAAAAATTCACATGATTCTTGCAACACTCTCCGGCTTTCACTGATTGGACTAATCAGGGAAAAAGACAGAAAAAAAATGCTATTTACCACTTTTTTCTATAATTATTTAGATATTAATAATTATAATTTAGCTAATATAAAATTGGAAAAAGTAGCTAATACTTTAAATAAAAAAAGAGAATTAAAAAATGCCTAGACAATTTAAGAAGTGGATGGAAATGAACATGAAAGGAAGAAATATAAAATCCTGCATACAGGGAGAAGAAATATAAGGTGTAAGTATAAAATGAGAGAGATCAGCCTTGACTGTGTGAAAAGGATGTATCAACTAATGCCAACTGTGTGATCAAGCTGTTAAAAAGAAGTACTGTGGCAAATTCATTAACTGGAGCATAGGTTCCAGGACACAGGAAGTAATTTTTTTCTATTCTGCCCTGGTCAGACTCCTTTGGACTACTGTGTCCAGTTCTGGGAATCACTATTCAAAAAGATATTGAGAAATTTGAGTTAGAAAGACTACAGACATGGTTTAAGGTCTGGAAACTAAAGTCTATGAGGAAACATTAAAGATCTGACTATAGAAGACTGAGAAGAGATATGACAGCAGTCTTCAAATATCAAAAGGACTATCACACAGAACAGGGAGTTGATGCTTTTGCTACTGTCCCAGAGGGCAGGACCAGAACCTGCAAATTAAAACTCCAAGGAAGCAGATTCAGGCTAGACACCAGGAAGAACCTCTTGGCTATGGGAGTTGACAGATAATGGAAGAAGCTGTTAAATGCAAAGGTGTGCTTTCCTTCTCTGGGGACTTTTTCCAAATCAAAATTAAATTAAGAGGAAAATAAAGATACTAGCAACTAAATGAAGGATTGAAACACATGAAAACAATGAGATAATTACAAGATTAGCTCTAACTGAAGAGATGGAAAGAACTGAGAGATTAAAAGAATGTTTGAGAAAAGAAAGGATAGGATAGCACTTTTCAAGTACAGATAGTCCTTTATGACTGGTTACTTAGCTTCCTTCCTTCCTTCCTTCCTTCCTTCCTTCCTTCCTTCCTTCCTTTCCTTCCTTCCTTTCCAAAGTTCCAACAGCCGTCCCCCCCACAGTCACATGACCACATGTTGGGTGCTCAACAACTGGCCCAGATTTACAGCCATTTGCACTGACCTAGTCACATGACGTTATTTCACGTTTTTTTTTTTGCTGAAAACAGGCATTTTTAACAAAACCAGTCCGCAGCAAACAGGTTTGCTTTACAATCGCCAATCAATTCACTTAATGACCAATGCAAAAAAAGTTATAAAATCAGGTCACATAGGTGACCTGCTTTATGACCTTCATGATTTATGACCACAACAGGCAGGCTCCAATTGTATGTCAACTATCTGCACCCAAAGGTATGTCATGAAGAAGTTTAAGACCTGGTTTCTTTTATCAACTCAGAGGTTGGAAAACAAAGTTGGGAAGCAAGATTGCTTATTAGGAATAATCTCATATCAGTGAGAACAGTTAAAAGCTGAAGAAATTACCAACAATGGTGATCTCCTTCACTGGATGTATTCAAGCGTGATTGTAGTCATCTGTCCTGAATGCTTTAATTTAGATTTTTACACAAAGTAATGGATTGGACTTGATGGCATAAATGGGCCTTTTAACTTTATGATTCCATTATCTAGCTAAATGGTGGAGTGTATATTACCACGCCACCTCCCCCCAAAAAATGTTGTTAGGTTCCATCATCCCTGTCCATTGGCCATGCTAAGGCTAAAGAAAGATTTTTAAAAAATATTTGGAAGATCCAAGTTTCTCCAAACTAGTCTGGCAGATTACACCTGAAGGAAATCAGGTAGGAAAAACTAGAGAGTTATAGACATTTATCCTGTTAAAATCAATGGAGCTTGTAAAGTGCATGTCCTGCCTGAGAAATAGCCTCGGTAGTAGCCCGAGTCTCACTACATTTGGATGGCACCACACTAGAAAATGTTGCTCTACCAATCACACATCCTTTGTCTTTTCCTTTTGCTTAGTTAATTCTATAAAGCACCCATCCAGCTTATCATTATATTATGTTTCATGATCTACCTTCTTCTGATACTGTGTGACTGTCAATAAGACAGGTTGGGAAACGGTCAGATAATAGTCAGCATAGCCAACAACTGGACAGTGGGCAGAGCAAGAGGCTCAGAAGGGACTTTGCCTTTCTTTGCTATAAATGAGATGGTGGGAGAATTACACTGCAAGATTCTGTTAGTACCGTGTTTCCCCGAAAAGAAGACCAGGTCTTTTTTTTTGCCTCCAAAAGATGCACCAGGTCTTATTTTCGGGGTATGTCTTTGATATTCACCTCTGGCACCGACAGCCCTGCCTAGTCGGTCCACTTCTTCTGTGACCGAAGGAGCAGCTTCATTCTGCAGCTGCATTCCAGCCTGCATTTTGTAGTCAGGCCTTTCCGGAAGGCCTCTGCAGCCGAGTACCGAGCTATGGATTCAATCCATGGTTCGGTTCTTGGCTGCAGAGTTCTTGCAGTACCGAGCTATGGATCGAATCCTTAGCTCGGTTCTCAGCTGCGGTGGCCTTCTTGGAAAGATCTCTGAGTGAGAAATGTAGGCCTGGCTGCAGAAGATGTCACAGAAGTGGGCCGGTGAGGAGAAGTTTGGCTGCAAGTTAAGTGGGTGTGGGCACGTGGGGCAGCTCCATATCTCCATCCCCTAGCTTATTTTTAGGTGTGTTTCTCACCCCAAAACTAGGGCTTATTTTGGGGTAGGGCTTATATTAAGTCCACCCCCAAAAATCAAGCTAGGGCTTATTTTCAGAGTAGGCCTTACTTTCGGGGAAACACAGTATAGCTTTACAGTAAAGTACAATTATCTAGTCATGTTTTCTATCTGATCTACTTGGTGAGGCTGACAGTGCTCCCTCTCCCCCCTATCTCCCCCCTATCTCCCTCCCTCTCCCCCCCTCTCTCTCTGTATTCATTCATTCACTTTGGTCTATTTTTTCCTGCTATTTTATACCTTCTTCTTCAAAGTTTCCCTAGACCTCTGTCTGCATCTTTGGTTTCTCAGCCTATTTATTCATTTATCAAATTTATTTAGCTACCTGTATCACCAAAGCAGACTATTGCCTGCTTTGTTCTGGAAACCATTCCACCAATTGTTTATTTCTCTGCTATTTAGCTCCATTCAACTCACAATTTATTGCCTTGAATATAGCACTAAAACTGCCTTCAAATGATTGTGTTTTCATAGCACGCTATCATTACTAAACTATAATTTACTGAAACACAATTAATGCATTAAGCTTATGGGACTGGACTTTATAACACAATAAACTAAAAATGTTACTGGCTTATTTGGCTCATGTGAACACAGCCAGTATCTGACTAAATTGTCAAATATTGAGCCTTTAATACATTCATTCTTAACTTGGACTGTTCATAAAATTGGTACACTTTCTCACTCAATATCTAAAAGTGCTTATATGTCTATTATTTACAAATTTTTAGTAAAATAAAATAGGTCACAATATTCATATTCCTAAAGCACTTTATATGTAGTCTATTTTCCCTGCATTCCAACAACAAGGTCACAAAGCATTCTAAGATACATACTTATTTTTAAACATTATCATTTAGTATTAAGGCATTTTATTTATAACTTAAAACTACAAAATACAAAAACTCATCTTACTCTCTTTTGCGATTTCTGTTGAAGAAACTTGCCCATTCTGAAAAGGTCTTTTTACTTCCTATCCAGAAGACTGGAGAGATGCCAACAATTAAAGTCATCAGGTACTTCATTAGAAACAAAGTTATTTCCGGTCTAGCTAATGTTTTTGCCTGGAAAACAATAAGCATTTACTGAAAATACAATAGAAAAAAAATGGTTTTCCTGTATGACACTTCAGAGGACAAAATGAAAAATAGGCATTTCTGATTTATAATGGAAAGGCTAAAAACACAGACTAAGAATGCCTATTGTACACACTTAAAACTGGAATCTCTAGAAATTATAATAGTGCAAAAGAAAGATGGAATTTTAAGGGGAGGGGGTTCTTTTTGTGTATTAGAGATTAGAAGGTAACTACCCTAGCAGTCTTTGTAATTTCATAGAACATAAAACCTGAGATATCTTATAGAAAAAAAAATTAAACTTCTTGAGTATTTCAGTTTTATAATACTGAAATGACACATTCAAATGATATCGAAGATATTTAACTTGCAGTTACTTACCTTGCTTACTTATTTGTTTCTAAATATAAACATTTGACTTTATGGGAGAGGGGTTCGTGAGAACTTCAAATGTCTATTTAATTAAGATGCTTATTATGCAAATGATTGATTTTTCCAATTTTAAATATCACTCAGTTCTTGAATGTTTGAATATATATATATGTACACATTCAGTGCTGAAAATATTGTTAACTATTCTATGAAGATATTGCTATTTACATAACAATTCTAAAAAAATTAATGTTCTCAGAGTCATTATCTTCTGAAACAGGAAGACACCAGATCTGAAACCTACAAGATTGTGTTCAAGTAAAAAATGTTGTATTTCAAATGAGTAATATAGTCTTTCTTCTACCATCTTCAATTTAAAGAGTTACAATTATGAAGCCATTAACTTTTTCTGAAGGATTCTATACACTTCATGACAGATATGCAATGAATTTGGTCCTCACAAAATAAATTATATAACCCTGTATAATTAACAGTTACAGAAACTTTGCAGATCTCCTAAAAGTACTGGTAGCACCAAAGATTCTTTCAAAACAATGCTCTCCTTGCCTATAGACTAATTAATGCATCAAAATATATAACCGAATCCCAAAACTGGATACACTATTCTTTATTATTCAAGCATTAATTTTGCTAATATTTCAACCTTACCTGGTAAGGACAGGGTATATGAAATTGATCACAGTGGTCATAAACCCAAGTGGTTTCCCAGATCTTCCTATACATCTGCTCATAAATGTAACAGCCCAAGAGTATCGCTAGGGGCACAAGGTATAAGCCGCTGAAGACACCAATTCGAATCATGAATTTTTTCAACTTTTCTTGGTTCCTGCCGTCATTCTGTATGACTTGGCGCACATGATTTAAAGAAATTATACCCGCTAAAAGGAGAGATAAACCGACAAAGACACAAATGCACAAAGGCAGGAGAACAAAATATCGAGACGTAGCTAAGTCATAGAGGCCAACAAAACAGACACCACTAATGTTGTCACCTTCCACTTTGTTCATGGCAAGGAGCATCACTGTGAGAAGCCCCGGCATGCCCCAGGCAACTGCATGGAACCACATGGCTTTTTGTTCAATAGCTTCACAGCTCCATTTTCGTCCAGCAGCAAGGAACCAAGTGACTGTGAGGATCACCCACCAGACAGTTCCGGCCATTGTGAAAAAATACAAAGCCATGAAGACAAGGGTGCAACCTTTGTTCTGAGAACCAAGAACGACTGTTTCACCAAGATGTAGTTTTTCATCACTCTTATTACAGGCTGTTTTGTTTCCTAGGACAAATCCGAGGAAGTAAACGAGAGACACTATACTGTAACAAACAGAATAGTAAATAATTGGCCTCTCTGGATATCTAAACCTTTTAACATCTATCAAAAATGTTAGGAATGTAAACAGAGTGGCGCAAAGGCAAAAAATTGAAACAATGCCAGTAAAGCTTTTGGCAACTTCTAGTTCATGATTATTGAAGTACATGTTGGGGCAAGGGGGTGCACACTGCTCAATGCCTAAAAACCTATAGCCTTGTCCACTAGATGTCTGCAAATGACGTGGACACCAAAATCCATAGTCCCTTCTGGGCTGCCCTGAGATCTTCCGTGTGTCCTTGGCTCTTGTAGTAAAAGAAGCAGTGACAGCAGCAGTTTTATCACAGTTTTTCAATCTAGAAAGTCAAAAGAGGGGGAAATTGGTTATGATACTATAGAACTGGCTGTATGCTATCTGGGATTCCATTTGCTTGTTACTCTAAACACACACACACAAAACTTCTCAAAACATGAGATGTATGTTTGTAAGCATAATCTAAGCATATTTTCTTGTAAATCTTTATTAAATATGGTTAAGTATTTTAACATAATGTTAAAACGTTTATTCTGATTCCAAGAGTTCAACTTAAATGTTTTGTAAACATACACACACTTCATCATTTTTATGTAATCTTTTAGTTAAAGGAAAGCAAGCTAGTTTATAGAAAATTGTAATCTCTCTCTCTATATATGAGACATGTCAAACTCGCAACGTCATGTGATGTCGTGCAACGTATCGGGACAGTTTTGCCATTGCTGGCAATGGGGTGGGCGCAGTTTGACACCTCTGCTCTCTATATATACATACAATTTAAACAGAAAGAAAATAAAATTAATAGGCAAGAATCCACAAACAGTCACCATGAGGGAACACAATCTCAAGTACACTGAAGCAATATTCTGCCTCTTGTGCATCAAATACAGAAATTGCTAAAAGTCAATCCAGAGCTCCGAGAGTAACTTCCCCACTTTAGACTGCTTAAGTCTTTTAAAAAGGATTAGGGCTAATATAGAGAAATGTTAACAATTCCTGGGCATAAAAAGTAACTTCCAAGGGTCTGTTAAGCAGTTATTTAGAGCACTCTACACTAGCTGAAGAATTCATATTCTTTAGAGTAGCTCCAAGTGGAGAATTGCTATAGTTAATACAAGGTTTTCCAAGTCTGAATAGCTATAGCTAAGACTGAATCTTTAGTTAAGAAAAGTCCCAGCCTAAGTCACCAATGTTATAAATAAAAACAGGAACCATATATGGTAAGGAACAAGAGACCTTCATAACAAGAGACCTTCATAATTCCTAACAATTGGTTTCTAAAGAAAGTCTCAAGTGAACTGCTATATCTGCAATGGAAATATAAAATCGATCCACATGCCATCAAGCACTACGTCTATCCTGTAGAAATTTCAATTCACTAATTAGTTTTCATACTAACGGTTGCAAATCCCCCTCAATTGTCTATAAAATCTACAGAATTTAAAGAGAAAAAAAAACCTGAACCCAATGAAGCCAAACACCTAGTTAATAGAAAAATCTAGAATGGAGATAAAAGTACCCTTTAAATGTGCTAAACTACAATTCTCAAGATTCCCAATCATCACGGCTCAGATATTATAGTTAAGACGTTTAAATGGACCAGAGTTGCATTTTAACCTCAGTATAAAATAATACTGTTAGATAACAATGAAATATGAACTATATAATAACCTAGCAACAAAATGAATTAAACAAAGGTCAATTACATCAAAAAATCACAACATCCAAACAAAAAAATAAATGTCAAGGCTTGCAGAAACTAAAAATTTCCAATTCTTAGTTTAGGATTAAACATGTTTTCACTATGTGTTAAGAGTGGAATCTAATTCTCTGAAAGAGGAAGGTTGTTCAAGGACATCAATTTTGGGAATGAAGCTGAATGCTAATTTAATGTTCAGGCATGCAGGTACCCGATCCATAAAATTGTTCTTCACCCCAAAATGAGGGAATATGGAAACAGTGTGGAGTATCAAATATCATATAAATGGATATTCATCATGGAGCAATTATTTGATAGATAGTTTCAACTGGGTGCAAAACGGGACAGCCATATATTGTATCTGCAATATGAAGAGATATTTAGCTGGACCTAAGACCTAAGTCAATTCTAGTAGAAATAGTGGTTATTTTATATTTAAATATTTAAGAATATTTAAATATTCTTTTTTATGTTGTTTGTGTTTGAATTCTACTATGGCTGTTTTATTTATTTTTTTCTTTTTCATCTCTTGTATACTGCTGAACCATGAGAGTGCCATAGAGTATAAATTCAACTAATAGAAATAAGAGAAAAAATATGAAAAGCACCGTACCTGCTACATTCAAGTTCCTTAGGCCATCCAATTTCAAACATGTCTATCATCTTTTTACAGTCCTCATACACTCTTGCACAAAGGCTCCGGCAAGGTTGAACAACACGTGTTTGTTCAAAGCAAGCAGGCACAAAGGCTTTGCAGAGAAATGTATGGACGTCTGGAGAGCACTGAAGGTTCAGAAGAGGAAGAAAGAGCTTTGGGAGAGGAAAATGAGATGTGGATTAGCGACAAAGAACATTCAGAATAAATCAAAGCAAGAGTGGCTTTAATTCTTTTCTCCTTTCCTTTTCCAAAAGACTATCAGCTTGTTACAGACCTTTCATTAAAAAAATAACTTCAAAACTATATAACATTTTAGTAAGGCTGACCCTCATCATTCCTGTCAACTTGCTTTTGTAAAAAGCCCTATTGAATGGGTTTTCACCTCTCAATTAACTTCTTCTGAAACTTCAGTTCTGACAAGAGAAAGATTCCAGCAACATGATTTCACTGAAATTTCTAGTAAAAGTTGAAGTGTACCAAACAGGTTTTACTATGAATCAAAATTAAAATTCTATGGGGGGAGGAGCGTGGTCAGAGATTGAAAATATGCTGCAGGGGTAAGGTGATGTATCTCCTCACTTTTTAACATAGAGATTGTACACAATGATTGAGTCTATCCATTAAATGCTATGGGGGATTGAGAGCAAGAAAGAGCAGGCAGATGTTTTCATATACACCTGCACTTGTAGATGAGGCATATTAATTGCTGCCATAAATTATAGTTCAGGTTTCTATAGCAAAGTTTTTAAGCTGTATATTTGAAGTCATTTCTCTTGTATAATTACACTGAACATGTAATTAAACATCCATAGCTTCAATGCCATAGGTTTGACCTCTTTCTCCTGGTTGTGACAGGTGACCTTTTCAAACATCAAGATAGATGTTTATCTAACTAATGTTATTTTGTTCATTGTATCCAATGGCCACCCAGAAAATGCACAAGTCAATAGCATTTTCCTTTATTTGAGATATCCATTGTATGGGCCAAATGAAAATATTCTATTGTACAATAAACCACACTTCCTGTAAAACACCAAAACAAAAAAGTGAAGAAAAACAAATACCAGTTGAATTGTTGAGGAAAAAAGACTGAAAATGGTCTAAGACAGGATACACAAATTATGCCATACTATGCAGAAAATATATTAATAGCTATAATAAATAAAACATTTTATATAACTATCATATTCATGTCAAATATGTAAAAAAAACTAAAAAATATATTAGCAATGCAGGGAAAAAGCACAGGTACACAGACATATCATTAATTATTGGGGAAGTTGCAATACAACAACAACAACAACAATAATAGTAAAGTTGGAAGGGACCTTGGAGGTCATCTAGTCCAACCCCCTGCTCAGGCAGGAAACCCTATACCATTTCGGACAAATGGCTGTCTAGTCTCTTCTTAAAACCCTCCAGTGTTGGAGCATTCACCACTTCTGGAGGCAGGTTGTTCCACTGGTTAATTGTTCTAACTGTCAGGAAGTTTCTCCTTAGTTCTAGGTTGCTTCTCTCCTTGCTTAAAATGTTCAGAAAATTTTGCAATAATGATAATTATGGTGCCTTCCCACAGCGGTCTTCCTTAACTCAAATTCACTCTTGATATTTTTAAGGATAGAAACAGAAGCAATTTTCTTTCCAAAAGTTTTTTGCATATATGGTACAATTGCCTCCCTCTTTTCCTTCAGTTGCTTCTGTTCTTGTCTGTGTGTGCCTTCAAGCGTTTTTGATCACCAGAGACTGCCTGATCAAGTCCCATCTAAGATTTCAGTCTACCATCGCCTCCTTCCTAAAACTGAAGAGAGTGATTGGCCAAATCACCCAACTGGCTTTGTGCCTAAAGTGGGACTAGAACTCTCAGTCTCCAGCTTTCTAGCCTGGTGCCTTAATCATTACATCAAACTGATTCCAACTGAAACAAAAAGTATTCTTCAAATGTTGTTTATCTATGATCTATCAGTCATGATAGTCTCCATTATATCTATTAAATCTATTTTTCCTTCTACATTAACATAATGTACATAATTTCATTGATTTTTCCATACATTATTGCCAAGATAATAAAGGCTAACTGTTCAGCTTTTTTTAAGATTAATAGGTTCTATGGCCTGAAGATTTGCAAAACCTAGTCTAAAAGATTCATTTCTACTTTCCGCATGATTCACTTGCCTAAAGAATCTTACACATTTTACCAGTTTTTGTGAAGTACAATTCATCTCATTTTAGCAGTTTATGCTAGATAAATCAGACCATGATGCAAGAAACCAAATCCGTCTCATTTGCAATCATTGATCTATAGGATTCTTCTCTTTTTAAACCTCTTCCATAGACCAAAAAAAAAAAAAAGGATTAGAAAACCATCTATCCTCTGGTTGTCTTGGTTAGTTGTTTCTGGAAATGTTGAATGAGGTGTAATGGATTAGTTTATAACCCCTATTAAACAACCTGTTACCCACTAGATCATCGTTTCAAACATATTTCAGATATATATTTCAGATATATATTATCAGATTCCTCAATTGCCTTCAACAATGGCAGAGTCTGTAATGTACTGGAAAAGATTTTTAAAACATAGGGAGATATTCAGAGATGTATCAGCCTTGAAAGTAGCCCTATAGAACTGTATATCAGTCAAACATAAGCAGTTGACCACAAAAAATGTTTTATGACATTTTATATTATATTATGCTAAATGGTTTCTGATAATTTTTTCATGTTTTATAAAATTTGCCAAATTTTAATTTGACAAGAGTTGTTTAGGATGCATTCTGTAATTTAGTCCATTTGAAGTACCTTGGTTGAAAAAAATTTGCCCTAGGATATACTGTTTCACCTAGTTAAAAATTACAGACACAAGTTTTAGATAGTCCTTGATTTACAACTGAGATTTAATAATGGTTCAAAGTTACAGCAGCCTTGAAAAATATGTCTTACAACTCATCCTTGAAGTTAGGACCACTGCAACACCTCCATGGTCATACTTTTGACAACTGGCTTGCATTTACAATGGTTGCAGTGTCTTGAAGTTATGTGATTGTAATTTGTGATTTTCCCAACTGACTTTATGACAAACAAAATTAATTGGGGAAACTGGAATCACTTAACCATGTGATTCACTTAATGATGGTGATTAGCTTAATGGTGATTAGCTTAATGAATTGAAATTCTGGTCCCAATTGTGGTTGTAAGTTGAACTGTACCTATACATAGATAAATGTTACTACTTTTCATGTATAAATAAGGGGTTACTGGTAATGTTTAGCAATTTATCTTTTTCTAATCTATAATTGTGGTTAGAGTTTGATCATTAAAAGAGGTATTGGAGGTTCTTTAAATAAAAGATGGACTGTTGTAATTTGTATCTAGTAACTTTTATTGGATCTTTGCCGATTTATAAGGAGAGCGGAAGATTTAGAGATGGATCTATGGAAAATGGGATAAGGTAGAACAAAGATATATTAGCATTTTAAGAGACAGTGATATGCTGTTAATGTTGAATATACTTGTTGGGGATGAAAGGAAAAAATTCTTTTCTTTTTTGCGGAGGCTTTTTCCTGCACTTTTAAAATATTTATTTCTTTTTTAAAAAAATATTTTATGAAGTTCCTGTGTTAATGTTACCTGTTTAAATAATCCTTAATAAAATTATTCAAAAAGAAAATCATCTGAGCCTCCAAAACCAATCTTTTTCCAAGGTTTTCAAAGTCTATGGTGATATTTTGTAAATATTCTTTGCAGTATTGTTTTATCCCCAAGTGTGTCAGCAGAAAGGGATAACCATCAGTTGAATTGCTTGGAACATGATACATACTTGTTCCTTGTTCCTGGAAGATAACTTGCTTCATGAATTGAAGGATCTGCCTCTATACCCTTGTTTCAAATAGCTACAGCACAATTGCATTCTTTCTGTGCATCTCTTGTCTGCACCATCTTTTTCCTTAAATACCCCCCTAGACTGTTTCATCTGGGAAGCTTGGGAAGCTTTTAAGAGTTTGAGCATTACAGAATATCTTCTCTCACCCGCTCGCTTTGCTATTCTATTTGTCTTCTTTATGGAGAGTTGTTTTACTGTGCCTCAATCATAGTCTCCTTTCTTTGAAAGGATTAAATCCTCATCATTTCTCATCAACTGAATGTAGCTACTTGCTGCTCCAATCTTGTATCTTTTTCTTCAAGAGTCTTTTTCTTCATTTGCTGTAAACATAATCCTGGTTGTTTTCACCCAAGAAGATAAAGATGCCATAAATCTGGATGTCACAATGACAGACTTCTGTCCATTCATTTTCACTTTTTCTTCATTCTTCTCTCTATTATCAGTAGAGAGGCTTGTATTTCTTATTCCTTTTTCTGACCCTCTTACAGTTGGTCAAGGACAAACTATAAATTTACAAGGACTTTTTTGTCTTCAAGCAAATTCCTGCTAGCTCTGTTAACTCAATCAGAGCACTGCTGCCTGAATCTATCCAGCTTATATCCATCTTAAGCTGTTCCATAAGCAGGAAGAAGTCAGCCAGCCTCCATAACGGGCAGTCAGCAGCTCCCAGGACCTATCTCTTCCAATTATTCAAGCGAGTTCCTTTCCTCAGCTCTGCATACAATCCCTCAGGAGACACAGTCCTTTTGTCACTTCCTCCCATTCAACTCTCTGACCAAATTCCCACAGGCATGAATTCAACGTCTACACTGAATCTAGTTCCCCACCCCGACCTATGTAAAACACCAATTTTTGTTCTTAAAAATCGTCCCCCAAATTGTAAAAAGCAACCTAAGGTGGGAGTGGGGGAATAGACTTTTGACCTACATTAATCCTTAATTCAAGAGGTACCTTAAGAGCACCTCATTTTGCTGATTAAAGTCTTCCTTAGAAGCAAATCCTGCCAAATTCAATTGGGCTTACCCCTGTATAATTGTACTTAAAATTGCAGCTTTAAAAAGCATGCTCAACGCTTTATCTTTCATCTTCGTTACTACATGTGTTGACTTGCCACAGTTACCTTACAAGGTATAAAGTGAGTGCTCAAATGCAATTTATTTTTGAGCATGTGTACATATAACTTCTCTATATCTACACAGAAACAATTTTCATATAATTTTGTTAATAAAGGCATGCAATATCACCGTGTCCACCTTCAATTGCCAACATGCCCTTTTCTTGCAAAACACTCCCTTACATGTAAATATACATATTTAGTAGTCATTACTAAAGATTTAAATACATCAGACATATTTCTACCAAATTTGAATGCATATATAGCAGAAAAAAAGATCAACTGTAAGATCATCTTTCTTCATATTAACCGTGTCTGATATTGAAACTATCAATAGTTGCAATCTCTTTTAGTAGCATGTTTAGAAATATAAAAAAAAAACATTCACATCTAGAGCTTTATAGATAGCAATTAATTTTTAGGCAGGCAGATGCTTGAAGGCCTGAGGAGATCCCACAAGAGGCTACCTGCTATAAAAACCAAGAAGCTTTTAGTCTGATGATTAAAATGCCTCAGTTGAGGAGCCAATACAGAAAATTAAACATAGGTTCAGGGAGGATACATAAAAAACTGTTTTTGAAAATATTTCAGATGAAAGCTTATCTCTGGATAGCTAAGAATTGTTAATTGGATTTTTAAAACGTTAAAATATTTTATTTTAAATTGATTTTTAATGATTTATGGAATTGATATTTAAGTATAAAAAAGAAAATATAAGAAAAATTAGCTCATACCACAAATAAGGTAATTCTAGAAAAACAAGATGCAGTGTTTATAGATGGAAAAATTAACAGATATGCTTCAATAATTTTTAAAATTATACTTTCAAAGAAGCAAATTGAAAGAATAGCTATCAATTTTGAAATGAAAGCACTCCCGAGGGGAAGGCCTAATCCAGATGACAATCATGCTTCTCTCATTGGGTGCTTAACACAATCATTTTATGCAGAGCTAACTCATAACAAGACAGTGCCCAGACAACTAGACTCTAAACCATTAAGGCTAAATCAACACCTTGACTTGTGTCTAAAACATAATAGGCAACATGGCAGATCTTTCAATATCATAATGATCATAATTATACCAGTTGGCAACCTAAATACAACTCTTCAAAAGTAAAATACAGAATATTTTACAATAGTCTAATGGATCACAATTTGCAGAGCCTGAAATAAAGGCTCTGTTCCATTCATGTACCCAATCAACCAAATGCAGGCAATTATTTATGTTTCCATGTCTTGAAAAAGGCTCTGGAAATCTCAATTGCCAGCTCTTGCTCCTAACATAACAAAAACACTGAAAATGGAAGTGGGCCAAGCTGTCAAGGGATAGACAAAATCAGAAAATATATTTAAAAACAGACTGAAAAGGAAGCATCATAGGAAAAGCTCTCATATATTTTCACCACATTAACTACTTGACACACATAATGGGTGCTGTAAACTGTTTCTTGAATTACCAATAATAAAGGTTCCTAAAATAATAAATTAAGAGCCATTGTGGTCTAGTGGTTAAGGTGCCGACCTAGAAACCAGGAGACGATGAGTTCCAGTCCTGCCTTAGGCATGAAAGCCAGCTAGGTGATCTTCGGCCACCCACTCTGTCTCAGTCCAACCCACCTCACGCTGTTGTTATTGTGGGGAAAACAGGAGGAGGAAAGAATATTTTGTACGTATGTTCACCACCTTGAGTTATTTATAAAATAAAAACAGGATAATAACTAATAAATAATCTTACCTTTTTGTACTGCAAAAGATGTCTGCATTACAGCAAAAGTGCTTATAAATGCACAAGGACAAAACTCACCTTCAAGTGGGAAGCTGCAGTGTCCTGATCATAATGTCCCATCATATTAGGAAAAAATGTCATATTGTAAGTCATTCCAGAACATCTTGGGATAATAATAGGCTCACATGTGAACAAACTGTGTCCATATGTCAAGTTTAAGATTAAACTCCAGATCAGAAGGAAAACAAGGACCCCCATTTTCCCAAATATTTCCAACTTTTTTCTGTCCTGTTTACTCTCTCAAGCAGAATACGGACATTCAGAGATTACATTTGTTGTTTCTCTTCATATTTGCATCGGTGTGCTTTAACCGTAACATTTTTCCAGACGGCAAACTGCAAAGCAACCAAAAGAAGTTAACTGATAGCGGCTTTAACTGCATCAGGAGTCTTGTAAACATTAAACAGAAATGAAAGTCGTACTTTAGAACTGCAACAAGAAGCTTCCTTCTCTACTTATGCCAGACAAAACAATACTGGATTTGTTCTCCAATAGCTAAAAACCAGTTACTATCACAGAAAACACAAGCCTCTGCATGTTTACACAGCAGCATTCCACAGCATGCAGTGAGATACTCCCCAAGTGTTAGAAATGCAGCCAGGCGGAGAAATTGTTTGTTCCCAATAGCTACGCATACAGGCTCAACCTGTAGGGAAGCACCATCCAAACTTTAAAATCCAACCGATTATCAAATGTAAAATCACTCGCAACTTCCCCATGTAGGTCACAGCAGCTTATGTTTACGATATACTATCGATGGTCAACACACGCTCTTTTTTGTCGTAACCTTCCGCACGGCTGGTCCAAGATCGCATAAAAAAAACTGTTGCTACCCAAACTATACTTCGCTCCAAGTATTCCCAAAGCTTTCCGTTCCTCACGCGCGCGCGCTGGCGCAAAGAAGTGTGCGTGGAAAGGGACGGTTCCCACCCCCAGCCGATAAACTCTAAAGGAGAACTCCCAAGTGGGGGGGGAGGAGGAGACCCAAGCTTAGGAGGCCGTTGCTCGCTTCCTGCCGCATTTCAGGCCACCTGCGACTCAAAGCGCTGCAGGTCCTACGAGCTTTTCACGCCACTTACCGGACCCCGATACGGGTCCCCCTTTCGGAGTCGGTGCCTGCAAAAGCCTGAAACGTCGAACTCTTCAAAGCGCACAAGCCCGGAGTCGCCGATGCGTGGCGGTACCTTCTCTGCGTCTAAACGCGACAAAAAGTGGGGCGAGTTTTTCAAACACCTCCCGCGAGCTGCGATCTCAGCCCTGCCGCGTCTCCCCCACCCCCCCCACCCACCCCCCAACAACAATCCGCCACTTGAATCCCGAGCAATGGGGGAGCGAAGAGCGGCTCTGAGCACGGACGCAAACCCGAGGTTTAAAGGTTTTTCCATTGGATTCCCGTCGCGAGAGGAAAATGCTGAGCGCAGCCAGCCAACTCGGGCTCCGCCTCCCTTTTTGTCCCCCGCGGCGAAAAGTCCCAGCGCCGTCCGGAAAGGCTGCGCCAAACGCCCGCGCGCAAAGGCTCGGCGGGAGGCGAAGCCGCGCGCCCTACCTCACCTGCGCCAGTCGGGGAGGGGGGCGAGCGCTGCACCTGGCCGGCCTTGGGGAGAACATACCCGCGCCGCCCGCTCCCTTCGCCGGTAGGATGTGACTTTTTTCGCCCCCTGCCGAAAGGAAACGAGGAGAATCGCGAGTCGCGCGATATTTGAACGGCCGGCGGAAGGGGGGCGCGTAGACGCACCTCCCCCATCACCTGAATCTTCTCCCGCTTCCCTTTCCCCAGGCCGCTCAGAAGGCACGTGCTTTCCTCCCGCGTGGGCTGCCTGCGCGCCTGGCTGGAAAGATGAGCGTGCTTGTGTGGAGAGGTCAAAAGTAATATTTTACCCTTTGCTTTAAAAGAAATGAAAACTTTTCTTCAGCGAAAATATCAGAAAAGTGAGGACTAAATCTGGAGGTTTTCTTCCGGCGGTGATAGTTTATTTATGTGAAAGCCGCAATTTATCATGTGGAAAACTGCAAGTTGGTATGTAATAGGAATAAATAGTAAAGAACATAAATTAACAAAGGAAAAACAGTAGGGAAAATATATCCTGTAAGTGCATTAGGAAAGTAGGAAATGCAGTAGGAAATCTGACGTGATCTTGTGGAATAGAGTTGATATATAGGTGCAGGAAAGTGACACTGTAAGTGTAATTATGTATGAAAGGGCTAAACCACACCTTAGATATTGGTAGTAGTGATTGTGTCTCTCTGTTATTGTATAAAAGTCTGTAAGTTAGTAGTACTTGCATTACATTCTGTTGAATGGTAATAATGGAAGGACCAGCAGTGCCCTTTGAAAACAATTGTGTAAACCTCCTGAATAACTGTGATCCAGCAAGAACTTTTTTTTTCTATTGGAAAAAAAATTGGAAGTATATAGAAAATAAAAATTGGATAAAATTGGAAGTATACAGAAAATAACAATGAGAATGGTGCTTGTTTGGTGGACATCTGCTTAGATTTGTTTGAAAATAAGATTCAAGCATAAATCTATTCATGTGTAGAAACAGAAATAGAACAGATCAATAAGCAGTCTGTCTATGATAAAAAAACAAAAGACTCTTGGGTGGATAATAGGAAAAATGCTCATGAAGAAAAATAAATTTTCCTTGCTTTTTTCCCCATTGTAGAAAATGATTTATTGTCTAGAACACTTAGAAAATATGAATAATGGATGGAGTAATTTGATTTTGTCAATTCCAGAGTTGGCCTGGAGTTGGGCTGTATCAAAATCAACCAAATAAACATCTGCATTGCTGTCAAATATGAATGATTTCCCAGTTTCCTGTTCCCAAGGTAAATACTACCAGAGGAAAAACAATTGGAAAATTAATTTTAAATATTTTTAAAGTGAAAATACCTGTCTATGGATTCTATATAAGAGTGCGCAAACTATTTCAAATTTGAACCATTATGAATTTATTGTTCTTTGTTATAAAGTCATTTAGAAAGTGTTTGTTATTAGAAATTGAAAATAACCAAAATTTAAATCTCTCAGAAAGAGGTAGCAACAAATGTCATCATTATTACTGTGCAACTGAAACTATAATTCAAAATTTCTCTGTTGCTGGGCCAGTTGTGACATAAACTTGTTATGTAGCATTGAGCCAGACATATAAATGTGCCTTTATGAAATGTAGATAGTCATAATATTTAAAATTCTTGCAAGTGTTCATTAGCGTAAGTAAATTGTGTTGAGAGGTACACATAATTACAAGCTGAGAGTGAAAGCACTGAGACAATAGGATTGGTATCAGCACCTCTCCCAAAAAACATTCAGGAACTTCATTTCTCTCTCTTATACCAAACATGGATAATGAACTCCAGAAAGTAGAATGAAATGTTTCTAAGCAAGGAAAGTTGCAGAGTCACAAAACCATGATAGCAATTCTCTCTTCGGGGTCTCTTAGCTTCAAGTCATTGCTTATACTGAACTAGCCAAAAACAACTTTTAAGATTGTTCAGTTGATAATGTAAGCATACAGAGCCCAGTTAAGTCACAGCAACTAGTCTATCATCACTGATCTCAAAAATCTAAATGATACCTGGCTGGGAAGCCTTCAGAAAATGCCAGTTCTATGAGCTAGACTGGGAAGTTAAAAAAAAAAAAAAGCTCTAGAAAGCAATAGCAGGCTATTTCCATATTATCAAAAATTCTGTAGTACATGTCACTGAAGTCAATCACTTTTGGTTTTTTTTCTTTTCAATCAGCCATAATATAGATGTGGAAACCAGATGCGTGTACAAAGGCTTGGTATCATGCCTCTCTGTCAGCAGAATAACTCTCCAAAAACTGAATAAAAAAAGGACCAAACTTGCTGTTGGGGGAGAAATTGGTGAAAGAAAAATCAGTTTTAAAAAAATGGGCCATATCTTCTTGGGAGCAGCAGGGAAAAAATGCCCCCAGTGCATCCCCATAGGAAAGGCATTTGGGCAGTTGCTTGGAAAGTTGATGACGTGCCATTCTAACCTCTCCTTTTTTTCCTGATTACATGATCCAGAGAGAAGTTATTATGAAGCAATTGGTAAGAATCCCACAAGTCATGTTCTGCCTACTTTCCTTAACTTATCAATATTATTGTTTCCAACCCAACAGAATGTTGGAGGAAATTAATATAAACAGGCAAGCACTCTATTGATAGTCCATTAGCAGGAATGAAAACTGAACAGAACTAGATGAAATTTGTGTATGGGGAGTAGCTGGCAACAGAAAGATTGAATTCAACGATTAATCAGATCACAGACACCCAATGAAAGAGGTGGTTGACTGCAGCTTAGAAGGCTACTGGCTGCTCCCTTCTATGCTTTCTTTCCTCTTTCTTGATCATGTAACATGGAGCAAAATGTAGCAGCCTGTCTTGTGCTTCCCAGGAGAGTAGAACTACACAGACACAATATATTGCTTCGTGATAGAGAAGAAATATAGAAACCTTCAGTGACCACTCTTGATAAGTGGATTGGGAAGGATTCCAAAAGTTACATTCTGCATGCTTTCTCTTGTTGAAGGAATATAAGTATCACATAAGTGAAATGTTTATGATAACTTTTTAAATCAGGCAAGTATTATATATTATCAATTTCTAGTAGGATATGCAGGTTGGCTATGTTATAATAAAACCAACAAAGCATTATATATATCTTAAAAACTAAGATGAAACTCTGGACCATATATACATTGGTATATAAATATGTGTATCTCTTGATATATTTCACTGCCCCATTGCAGGGTCAAAGGTTTATTTCTAACTTTTGGAGGTAAGAAATTCAGAGAATTGCAGTGTATCTGTAAAAATAAAGCTCCTAGTTATATTGCAGAGACATATCCTTGTTTTTCAACACAGAAAAAATACACCTTCCAACTGTTTTCTTAACGTGTCAGGATCTAAGCATATTATATGAAGGGTTATAGTTTTATACATGTATCTCCAAATGAGCATGGAAAAGGCCATGTTTTCTACTTATAATTTCTCACTGAATCAATGTGTTGCGGAAACAGAAGTAATAAGTTGTGGGAAATCAGTTTTGTTTTAGTGGAACTGACTAAAATTAGTTGAATTGCAGTAAAAATAAATTTTGCTGTGGACTACCTGCTGTTCTGCTAGGTTAGTTGTAATTAATTCTGACTCTAGAAAGGAAATTGTTTGAATTTGTGTGACTGAACAAACTAATTATTTTAAATTGTGTGAAACAGCAGAAATCTATTGTCTCCAAAAGTCCTTTTTTTTTTGAAGCGTAGCATAAATATTGACTGTGTCCGCCTAAGATTTGACCATCTGCATTTTCTTTGACAACATCTTGCAGTTTGTAGAACTAAATGGCATTAAGATAGTGACTGATGTCCTTTTAAATTAATTATAAACTGACAAGAATTTCTTGGCCCTTAGATAAGTTAGATTAGTTAAGCCCAATCATTTATTCTTTCCTTATTTTGGAACCTAGTTTCATACAGTTATCGTAACAAACTGTATTTTGGATTAATTCTTCATCTGAGACAATAATACTGAACTGTACATTATTTTGTTTGAACTTCTGTTTAACACACATGCATTCAGAAATTATATTTTATAATTTGTTGCAATTTAATGAATAAACCCAGACTTAGCATTATGCGTGATCCCATTTACTGATTGCACTCAAAGTTCTTTCTAGAACTGAGAGTACTTTTGAAGAGTTGATTGTATTTAACTTTCAAACTCTGGAATTTTTCATAGATCCTTGACAGTCTTACAGGTATGTAGTTAACATGGTCACTTAAATGCTGATATAAAAAGAATGTTATTTAAAATCAAGAATGTGTTTTAAAAAGGAGTGCAGGCCAGGAAACTCAAACGATTAGTTTTGAATGACTACAGCATTTCACAGTCTTCCTGGAGGCTAATTAAAGACTGCTATAATCACTTAAAAGGTATTAAAATTGCTCATTTTAAAAATATTTTGTGACTCACATAACATGCCTGTTTTACTGCCTTAGCATTCTTTCTCAACTAAATACCCTTCAAATATATTAGAATACATACCTCATTGTTCCCAGCTAACATGGCTAAAGGCAAGGCTAACTTAGATGATGGGAGTTTGTATTCCAATATATCCAGAAGGCTGAATCAAAGTGATATAACTCTTATATTTAATAAAACAATTATTTGATCTTTTCTTCACCAGACAATGCCACCATCCTTATACTAGGAATCTAATAGCACGTTTTCTGACAAATTTTACTAAAAGGCGTAAGCTTTTGTGGATTGTAACTCAATTCATGAAATGTATAGAGTTCTAGCCTAGCGTCTCTCAACCTTTGCAACTAGAAAATCTGCGGATTACAACTCCCAAAAATTCCCCAGCCAATATGCTGGGTAGTTGTGGGAACTGAAGTCCACATCTTCAAGTTCGCAAGTTTAAACTTATGTAGGATTTAAATTTGGGTGATATGGGGTAAAGGGAGGGAGCAATGCATTGGGGATAACATAAGTCTAGGCATTCAAAAGCAGTTTCACTTCAGATTTGTAGCATAGGTTTTATGTATAAATTTTCCTTGTGTGCATAAAACTTAATTATGCAAGATTTTTGATCAACAGAGAACCTGTATGTATCTACCCAGGCCTACACAGACAGACAGGCATTTAGATGCCCCAATGGAAAGGGCAGACATAAGAGTATTGAGTATGTTAATATTGTGGTTATGGAGTGTGCAATTGGCAGCTCTCTCTCTTATGTTCAATTAATTTTGGAGGCCTCCACAGTACACCATTTGTTCCTGAATTCAAGGTCTGATAAATAGGTTACTAAAATTAATGAGACTTAAGAGATTTACCTGTGAACAGATTGCAGTCTAAGTTAGAGGGTGATCTATACAAAACCAAACACTGAGACTGAGCAACTGAGACTTATTCCTAAGGAAATGAAACAGTAATGCATGCTGAGTGCAAACTCTATTGAAGCATCAGGACTCCTTTCTAATTATGTATATTACACACTCACACTCACAAATTTGAATTAAAGCTTGGGTGTAATACTAAGTAATGCCAAGAATGATTTGAAGGTTATTTTCATTTATGCAATCCTACACTGCTATAATTAAGACTAAAATCTGAATATAGATTTCAAACACTGGATTTCTGTATCAAGCAATTTCTTTTAATAGTACATATTTTTCTAGTTACATTTTCAAAATGTCTCTGGTAATTAAGGTTCTCATTCAATACATTGATAATTGTTCAGCTTTGACTCTCTCCAGTAATCTAGTCACCTAATTTGTTTACTGATTTATATTTTATTAATTTATAGATTTAGTAACCCATCAAAAAGAATTCTGCTTGGAAATTTTAGTCCTGATTTAAAACAGCTCTGCTTCTCCATTAAAATTAGAGACTCCAATATAGCATATACAATTTTTCTCTTTTAAAAAGACATAATCAAGAGATAATCCCCCCCATTTGAAGCTCTTATTAAGTGTACAGTACACAAAAAAGTATTTTTTACCACAAGGGCAGGATCTAAAACACTTTGGGAAATGTATATTATGCAAATATGAAAAATGGAAGTTCATGAAAAATGCACTTCCCTTATACTGTCACATATAATTTCATCCTAAAGCTAATTTTTTCCTGCTATGACCATCAAAAATACCTTCTATCACTATTAAGCATTTTACATCAGTTGCCTTCAAGTGAAATCCAAACTTATCTTTCTATGTTGTCATATTTGGTCAATTTTTAAAATCTCTTTTAAATCTTATATGGCACTCAGAGTTCATTTTGAATTGTGTAGCCTTACAAAAACAGTAAATAAATAAACAATGCATTTGGCATAATTTTACTATTTTATAGCAGCGTGATTTTCACCAGAAATAAATGAAAGGCCAATGTGAAATTCAGACTTTCAATCAGGCTTTATATTATCAAAATAGTATCAAAGCTGAGCTTTGATCACATGTTCAGATGAAATGTTCCTCATTATCAGTGCAGAGACCACCTCCTTGCTGAATCATAGGAACATAGAAAGAAAATCAGAAAATATCCACCCTAATGTTTGTGGACCAGATTATTTCTACTTTGAATATAATTCAGTTTGTTGCAATTCTTTCTTTTCCTTTCATGCTAGGAAACTTTATGAGAATTATTCTTAGGAAAGATCACTTTGGGTTTTAGGCAGCTGTCAGAGAGACTGACAGTTGAATTACGTAGGCCTTTCTTGTGTGACACATTGTGTGGCACACATCATATTGTGGCACATTGGCAGAAGAAATTGACTTTCCCCAAAAATGAGCAAGTACCATCAACTGCTATAATACAACAACCCAGTGGAAACTTCTTATTTGCCAAACAGGATACTGCATTCTTAAATGTTTTACACCTATTGCACAATTATCTACAGTGACATAAATTTTAGCCATGTATTTTAGGTAGCAGCAAGTTATCTGTAATAGTAGAACTCCCTTGTGGTATTTCAGCACATTAATAACAGGATCGTTCAGGGTGCTATTTTGCACACAGTGATTGCTGTGATCATATTTTGGTTTCAGATTATATACATTTCTATTTAAATTGAATTAATCTAAATGATAACTTTCCACCACCAGAAGAACTGAAGAGCCAGGTCTGGAACAGATCATCCCGGGGAAAATCTGTCTTTGTGATCTCTAAGAATCCACACTGTCTTGATGGCACATAATGAATCCGTCCATCAATCAATCAATACCTGATTGTATGAATGAACAGCTTTCATGCATCTAAAAATTTATGTTGCATGAAGCCTTAATTTCTGAGAAGCTTTTCAATTTACATTTCTTTTCACAAGAAATTAACTTAAGTTACTTAAGTTACTTACTTAGTTACTGGCAAAGTAAAAATCAAACCGGTTACTTCCTAATTGGTGGCCAAGCTCATCAAGGACAGAACAAGAAAAAGTATCAAAGCTTCCAATGCTGGCAAAACTGCAGAGCTAATAAAGTCTACCATTTTTCCAAAGGCACTCATCATCAGTTGTCTGCCACATTCAGCATAATGTCAACGTTGAAATTCCAGATCCCTGCATTGCGCAGTCAGGTAAAGTGCAGCAAGATATTGCAAAATTCATTCACCTTTTTTCAGTGCTTCCTTAATTGATACCGTTCTTTGCAACTCTTCTGTTGCTATTTATTTGTTTGTATTTGTCTGTTTTGGAAGTGTTACTACTAACTTCTTTTGTGGCTCTTTTCTTGTCCCATTTAGCCTGTTTGAAAAGAAGTTATAAAATATAATGTATGCTTAGAATATGTTCTGTAGAAGTAAATCTCTTAAACAGAAAAACAAGATTGGAGAACAGTTTTTAAAAAGAGACTGATTAAATATATTCTAACAGCACTAGAACTTGATCAATCCCTAGGTTGTAGTCTTAAATTAGATATCATAACCTATTAATGTAATTATTTCAGCTCAAAATTTGGGAAAATCAAACCTAAAGCAAAAGGACAATTCTCCCAGTGGCCATGGGAGAATGAAAGTTATAAAAGATCTGGAGCTTTTTAGTTCAGAAAACAATCACAGAATGTTAGGAGTTACCAGGGACCTTGAAGATCACCTAGTCTAGCTCATTGCAGTACTACTATAGGTAGTCCTTGACTTACAACCAGAATTGAATCCAAAATTTGTGTTGCTAAGTGAGATATTTGTTAAGTGAGTTTTGCCCCATCTTACGACCTTGCCACAGTTGTTAAATGAATCACTGCACTTATTAAATTAGTAACACAGTTAAGTGAATCTGGCTTTACCATTGACTTTGTCAGAAAGTTGCAAAAGTTGGTCACATAACCCCAGGACACTGCAATGGTCATATATGTGAGTCAGTTGCCAAGCATCTGAATTTTGCTCAGGTGACAATTGAGATGCTGCAATAGTTGTAAGTGTGAAAAACGATCATCACTTTTTCAGTGCCATTTTAACTGCGAATCATCATTAAATGAACTGTTGTAAGTCGAGGACTACCTATACATGATACCTCAAAGATGACTAACTTTTTTAATCTTCTTCAATGAAGGCCAGTCACTTCCTCACAAGCAGTTTGGTTGACTGATGAACAACTGTTACTATTAGAACATACTGCTTAATGTCTTAACTGCAATCTACTTACGTATTATGTAAAAATAATAGATTATGTAAATAACCTATTATTTCTTGCTTTGTCTTCTCAAACAGCTCTGAAGAATTCCTCCGTGTTTTATATGACAATCCTTCAGAGAGGAGGAGTATAGTAAGAATATAGTAAAAGACAATTATTATGTCTTTTCACAGCCTTTCTTCTCCAGACTAAACACATTCAATGGCTTCAAGCATTCCTCATATTATTTGCTTTCTTGGTTGCTCTCAATAAATATCTATATAAGATGGTAAAAGAGCAATCAATACTTATAAATGGGAATTGTTTATGGGGAGAATAAATAACATTCCCCCCACCCCTTGCTTCAATAATGTCAAAGATACACTGCACAATACCATTCTTAGAAAATGGAATGGCTCAGCATTTCATCACGTTTAAAATCACCCTATATTCTCAATCTCCCTGAAAACATATGTGACAAGGCTTTGCTGTTTAGTCCAAGACAAAAACATAATTTTTATACAAATTAATTCTAACTGAATCTGTCTATTCCAACTTCCCTATAATGATGGGGGAAATTAACCTTACTTTGCCTCCTTCAACCTGAGAAGATCTGAACATAAAGGATAATTATACCAATGGAGAGAGAGAAATGCCTAGCTGAAAACTTTTTTCCTTATAACTGCAAAAATACTGTAGAGTTTAATTGCATTTGATTAAAGGCCTTTCTGCATCATCTGAAGATTCACTCTGATGCCACACTGTCACCTGTTCCATGGAGCTAAGACTATTTTTTGCTCTGCATGGTTGATTATCAGCTGCAATAAAATAGTGGGTTTTGCAAATGACTATAGCTCTAAGGACTTTGTTGATGTATTGGTGCCAATGTTTGCATTGGCAGAAATTTTTGTTTCATTTTGCCTCCCAGCTCCTGGCCTCAAGCCAGTCATCATTCTCTTCTCATCCTTGACTCCCTGCTTTTAAAAGGTTTGGGATCCTGCTCCTGGACCTTGTGATTTCCCATCTGTGTTGTTTAGAACTTGCCTTCTCTACTCTCTCAATCTAGTTGCTATAGCAACATCAGACCACATCACAAAGTACCTAATGGCAAAATTGTCTTACCTTTAGAATTCACAAGCGTTTTTAACGCAATAGTGGAATAGCAGTGAGGGTGGTCAAGAAGCCCTTGAATTCGGTTTAGATTGTGTACAATTAATATTTCACCACATAAACAGAATGTAATCCTACACTCACCTCTGAGGCTTTAAAGCTATTTTGTGGTTTCTGGGCTGCATTTCCAGTGGTGTGAGTTGATAGTTTTGCACACTGTGAAGCACAATGAGTTCTTTTTTCTGGAATAGCCACACCACTTGAAATTGAAGACTTTGCCATGCAGGTCTGGGTTGATTTGCTGTCCTCCAAAATTCCTGAAAACACAAAATTGCAGAGTGAAAGCCAAAATATTTGTTACTACTTTACATATAGTATTTTTTTAGCTGAGAAGGAAATTGACAAAATTATTCTGTTTTATAGAATGATGTTTTGTCCATGATAGTTTTAACATAAGATCCATTACATTACATTTACATATACCTCTTCTCCCCTTCATATGCAGACACCAAGTGTTTGCATAGATATTTGCCTATTAACTTTTAGAAAATGATAAGAAATGACTTAGCTACGTGAGATCCTGAAATTCTAGGGTATTTGGGGGAAAAAAAAACACCTTGTGATGCCAAACTTGTGATGGTTAGCACTTCACACAGCAACAGAAATAAACTTTGTGTTTGGAACAGAAGGATGGTTTGCTGGTAGAAAACTATTCTCCACAGGCATCGGACATGTCCACAGCAGTGAAGGCAGATTTTAAAGTCTCTGAGAGTAAACACTGAGGGCCATTCTGTACACCCTGAAAATAGGAACAACTCTTGCAAAAGGCAGTGGTCTTTTCAATATGTAGATATATGCCATCCATGCTCTTAACACTGTTGAAGGGCTTGGAGAGAATACAGGCAAAACAATACAGGATAGTCCTTGATCTATAACCATAACTGAGTCCAAAATTTCCATTGCCAAGCAAGGCAGTGGTTAAGTGAGTTTGGCCCACTTTGTGATCTTTTTGGCTACAGTTAAGTGAATCACTGCAGTTGTTAAGTGAATTGTGTGGACATTAAGCAAATCTGGATTCCCATATTGACTTTGCTTTTAAGAATCTAGCTTGGTAGGTTACATGGGTGATCACATGACCCTGAGACTGCATAATACATGCCAATTGTCAAGCACCCAAATTTTGATCATATGATCATGGGAATGCTGCAACAGTCATAAGTGTGAAAACTGGTCATAAGTCACTTTTTCCAATGCCATTGTAACTTCAAATGGTCACCATTCAAACCAAATGAATGGTTGTAAGTCAAGGACTACCTGTACTGTTATTTAAAAGACAAGACAATAGAACAATTCGTAAAAACAACAAATTGATACAAAAGTCTAACTTTGTCCCTGTGCATTACAAAAAACCGAGGATCCTTTTGTAGCACACCAGATGTATTTTATCTGCTTGGTCAACAGAAAAGATCAGCAATTTGCAGTCAAATAAGTATTGATCAAATGGCTTTGACATTAACATGGAGAACACCATGCAAAAACTGGAGAAGAAATGGACAGAGTTTCAAATGTTTTTTTCATGAAATATGTGACCAGGGGGGCAGAATACAATTGGCAGAACATGGAGATATACCCAGGAAATAAATACAACCAAATCATTATGCTCAAGAATACAAGGAAAGTCAAAAGATAATGAAAGCGTGAGCTTTGGGATCAAAATCTGCTATAGCAACAATCAGTACACAAGGAACAAAGATTTCTTGTTTTTCTTTTTTTAGTGGTATTGTGTTGGACTGGGCTTTTATGATTGTATTTTTCAGTGTTTCTTACGCTTCTTGAGTTGTTTTCCCCTTTAGGATTTTCATCCATGAAATTTTGCTTAGACTCTCTGAGTTTGTTAAAATCAGCTCTTATAAAGTTTAGGACATTGATTGGATTATATTCTATTGCTTGTGTTTGCACTATATTGAATTCCAGTATGATGTGGTCACTCTTGCCCAAGGTTCCAGCAATTTCAATTCCCTCTATCACTTCTTCTCTATTAGTAAGAAATTGATCTAGTATAGCTTTTCCTCTAGTTTCCTCCTCTACCTTTTGGGTGACAAAGTTGTCAGCTAAGTTGGTCAGGAATCTGTTCAATCTCTCATTTGCTGCAGAGTTTGTCTCTGTTGATACCAGGGTAGTTAAAGTCTCCCATTACTACTGTGGTATGTTTCCTACATACATTTGTTAATTGATTAGCAAAGAGTTCATCTATTTCTTTTGCTTGGTTGGGTGGGCTGTAGTATACTTCTATAGCAATGTCATTCTTTTTTCCTTTTATATTGACCCATATGGATTCTAGGAGGTTTTCATCCTTGGTTTTGTGTATTTCTGTAGAGATGTAGTGATCTTTTATATATAATGCAACTCCACCTCCTCTTTTGTTGGGTCTGTTTCTTTTGAATAGTTTATATCCTTCTATCAGTTCATTCCAGTCATGAGTTTCATCCCACCAGTCTTCAGTAAGAACAACTATATCATATCTGCCTTCTTGTAGAAATACTTATGCACAAGAAACCCTTGGGTACACAATTTATCTTGTGGTAATTGCTTTAGGTTTTTTTCTCCCTTCACTATGTTAATTATGTTTTCTTTTTCTTTCCTCTCTGTTATACAGTATTAATTAAAGTCAAAACAGAAAAATGCTAACTGTAGAGAAGAATGCAACAAAGATCTGGTCACTGTTCATTTTTCTCATTTTTGTTGGATTTGCCAATTGTTTGGGGATGTTTTTTAATGACAAACTAGATAAAGAAATATTACATAATATACAGTGGTGGGATTCAGCCAGTTCGGCAGAACCAGTAGCTAATTTTTGTTGCCCAGGCCCAGAATGGGCTTCCGAAAGTGGCATCCACACAGAGAACCGGTTGTTCACATATTTGAATCCTACCACTGATAATCATGGGAATATTGCAAGGCACATATTTTGTGTGCTGCAGATGAGAATAGGTTAGCAGTTAAGTTGTGAAACCCACATCTGCCTTAAACTAAAATGGTTCAATTGAATTAGAAGTGATTTGGGTCAGTTACTGATCGCTTAAAGACGTAAATAGCCAGGGCATAGTAGGTAAAGGATCATTAATTTCCTTTATGTGACATATTTCCCACATTACTTATGTTCATAACAAAAAGTAATTAACTCACCCCTGCAATCTTCTGCCATAGTGGCACTTCAATTATACAAAGCTTCCACAAAGAGGTTAGAGAACAAATCGAAGTTTATACTTGCAAAAGATATTCAGCAATTAAGGGGAGAAATGGCTGTCTTTGTAGAGTTTGCCCATTGCCAATGAATCTCAATGTACAACCCAGTTACTTGCTATAAGTCAACAGAAATAGAATCATTTGCTGCAAAGCAAATATGCTGGGGCAATACACTAGAAACAAGAAAGCGCTTAGTGCAAACTAGAACTAGCAGTACTCCGGAACAAAAACAGCAAATCAAAAGTAAAGAAGACATGATTACTAGCACTGTTTGGGAGATGACAGGGAGCTGATAAATCAGCTTGTTATCATGTGGTTTTATTGCAGCAAAAAGATGCACTCTACAATCTTATGTCATTTATCTAACCTAATTTATAGCTCTGCTCTAATTGAAACCCAACAGGACCCCTCGGGGAAAATTATCAGCATCCACCATAGGCCATTTGTTACTGGTACCTATTTCATTTTCCATCTGAAAATAACAGAAAATAAAAACCACCTGAATAATTGGTTCATTGAATGAAAACCTCTCAAAAAACATACAGGAGCAGCCTTTGAAATGACTCCCAGGGGACAGCTGAGAAGAAAGATCCAATTTACAATAAATAATCCCAAGGTCATAAGAGAAAGAAAAAAAAATATCAAGATGATTAGAATCAGGGATCTGCTTTCTTTAAGGGATTCAAAACACATTTAGAATCCAATAACTATAAAAAATATTCTAGGTGCCATTAAAACTTAATTACAGCAAGTAACAAGGACTTACTGTGCCTTGCTTTTTCTGCCTGGGTTTAGACAATTCTCATATCTTTTACATGTTTTGTCTTCTCCAGCCCTGCCTCAGCTGACTGTTGTCCTCACCTCTATCCTGTTGAAAAGCTGTATTACTATGTCTAGCTAGTTTCCCTTTACTGTGATTTCTCTCCCTGGTTGATGAATATGTTGCATAATGAGGATGGGACTAGCATTCTTCTATCATTTTTTAGAATGCATTGAGTGGTCTAGAATCTTTGTGCAAAAAAAAAAAAAAGATACTGGCAAATGAAAGTCAGAATGTCGCTAAGTATTTCAACTGTTTTAAGAACAAATGGGGCTGGCCTATGCTATCATTAGACAGATATAAAGCTGTTTGAATAATCATTCCAACAAGGATATGTCACTAGCTCTATGTCAGGTTGAAGGCAAATGTCAAATAGGATACTACGGTATTTTAGGCTCTGTGCTGTTCACCATATTTATAAAGGGCATAGATGAAGGATTAGAAAATATTATCAAATTTGCAGATGACACAAGTATAGAAGACAATATATTGACAAGCTGAGACAATGGGCAAAAACTAATAAGATAAATTTCAATCAAGATAAATGTATCCTGATCTTTGGATAGAAAAAAATCAAAGATATGAGTATAGGATGGGGGGAACCATGCTGGGTACCTAGAAAAAGGATCTGAGTATCTTGGTGAATAATAAACTGTTAGCCAACAGTAACACAACAGCAAAAAGAAAAAAGAAAATGCAATCTTAAGCTCCATCAACAGCAGTGTCAAGATCAAGAAAAATCATTCCTTTCTATCCTGCATCTAAAATATTGCTCAGACCTCACCTATAATATTGTGTCCACTTCTGTGCACCAAATTTTAGGAAGGATGTTGATAAACTGGAAAGTGTCCAAAGAAGAACAACCTGGAAAGAAAAATTTATGAGGAACAGTTGAAGCTGTTGGATATATTTAGCTTGGAAAAGATTGTGGAGTCATGGTAGCTGTCTTCAAGAAGATAAGGTACAATTCTTCAAAGATGTTTCAGAAAAGAAAAAAATGGCTTAAGTTACAAGGGAGTAAATTTCAATTGGGTATCAGGAAAACTCTAATGATAAGAGCTGTTCTCCGAAAAATCTTCCTTCTTCTTTGCTACAGAAGTTTAAGCATCCCATTGGGGATAACGTAACAGTAGATGCCTGTATTAGGCACCAGATTTAACTGGTTGGCCTCCAAAGTTATGTAATGCTTAGTACATACTGTTATTCACCAGTTCAAATTGCTTTGGGTGATTTTGAGCTGGAGAATAAGTTTAGTGGGGTATCCAAGAAAGCAAGCCAATGATATATATTTTCAATTATCAACCTGTATACTGTTGAATATGCACATTATGCACAGCAAAGTGGTCATATTTCTAGATATCTCAGCAGATTGCTATCAACCAAAGGAAAAGCAATGTTGGCCTTAATCAGGAAGATTACAGTAAGAATGTTTGCAGCCTATTTTAATGATTACATCTACACTCTTTGTGTATTTTTTATTTTATCAGGCCAAGTTAAGATAACCATCTGTTCAGGTTCCCTGTACAAAACAAAAGCTTTTGATAAAGGTACGTAATATATCTCTTTCAATGTTTGCTTTATTTCTTGGTTCTGAAGAGTCTTCTAGAGAAATTAAAGTCAATATTACTTTTTGCAAGTGATAGCAGTAGCTACAAAAACAGACAGGAGAGGTTATTGATTGTTCAGGATATTCAGACCATTCTTTATATTCTGTCTTTTGGAACAAGAAAAGTGTTTTTCCAAGCCAGGCAGAACACTACTTTAGACTGACAACCAATAATGGTGAAGAACATTATTTGGTATATACAGCAACATTGTACGTCATTATGACATACAGTATATGCTCAAAAAGACTAATATGTCAACAAAAAGAAAAAAAATCCAATTCTATTTTTATTATTTGTATTAAATTTCTAAACTTTTATTTTAGGGATTAATATACAGATATTTGTTGGAAAACTAAACAGATTGATATTGTGCTTTCAAAGGATTGCATAAAAATGTTTCCTACAAAGGACCCCTTTTCTGATTATGGCAGATTTGTATTTCTCTCTGGCCTATCTGCAGTAGAGAGAAAAAAATACAATCCTGTCTCTGGTGCTAAAAGTGAATGTAAGAAAGCAGAAAACTTCAAACCAAACAAGCTTTACAAAGGTGGTATTGTGGGCTAAGCCAAATGAATAAAACATTTTTCAAGCATGTCAATAGATCATATTCTTCCAATATGTCGGATTTGATCACAGCTCAGCAGTAATCCTCAATGCATAAGCAAGAAAAACAATTGGGGAACAAAGAAAATGAAGCCAAAAGAAGTATCTAAAGATGTTCAGATGTGTTTATCTCTCCTTATCTGGTTCTCTTTGGGTATACGAGACATGAATTTTCACATGAACAATTTGCAAGGAAACAACTTCAGATTGTGTTTTTATGGAAACTTTTGTCACAAAACAGTAAAATGTGGAAAGCCAGCCAGATTATTTTGTGCTACACAATTCAGTGGGACGGTTTTTGGCATGGAGTGAAAACTCTTAATAGGGATTCATAATGCATTTTCATATTTATTTCAGCTTCTTATAGGAATCATCTTATAAACTTCCAAAATCCTAGACACTTTTACAATGTAAGTGAAACTTTGGAATCCAAATCAGACATCCCACTTAAAATTTATCTTATAATATGATGAACATTTGGGATCTTGAATAGTTTTTTCTTAAGTATTGTTAAGGAACACTTTTTATTTTGAACAAATAGTCTTTTTTTGTGATCCTTGTTCTCATGATACATATACACTTTCTCAATCAAAACACTTTTGCCACTCCACCATATTTCATGTCCTATAAAAATATTAACTTTTTCTACATTACGCAACTGCTTGGTAAAATATGTATTTACATTCTGAAATATCTTTTCAGCACTTCCTTGTATCCTTACATAAGCAATGACAATACTTTAACAATATGAAAACAGGACATCTTGCAGTTTCAGAAAATTGTTATTTGGGATAGAAATGCAGACAGTTTGTGTCCTTTAGTGAAGATTTAATATTATTCAGAATTATGCTTTAAAAATATTATATGGGTAGTCTTCAACTTATGACCATAACTGGACCTGACAATTACATTTTTTTGCAACAGACTTTAAGTGAATCCATTGTTTGCCCTGTGGCATTTTTGCTGGAAATCAGAAGTATATCTTAGTTTTGAGCAAAAACATCAAAAATTACAGTCATGTGACCATGGGATGCTGCAAACAGCCATAAATGTATGCTGGTTGCCAGATGCCCAAAATACAGTCATGTGACTAGGGGGGTGGCCATTGGAATTTTGGATCCAGGTCATAAATATCTTTTGGGCATTGTATCTTCAAACAGTCACTAAGTGATCAGTCATAAGTTGTGGACTACCTATAGATGATATTAAAGTTTTTAAAAAAGTAGTACAAAGAAAATCACAAGTATGGGCTCATTCTGAAGGCAAGATACTCTTTGGGGACAGGCTATATGTTGCATATTAGTGAAACATAAGTGAGGGAAAATGTCCTTGTATTGAGAACGTTTTAATAATATTTCCTAGTTTATGCTGGATTTCAGCTACAAGTTCATACCAGTAGTATAGCTCTGCTAATCATGAAACTATCAGTGGAACAGCTTACTCCCAGAAATCGTGGGCGCTCCATCGCTGGAAAGAGACTGGACAATCACCTGAGATGGTATAGGTCCTCCTGCTTGAGCAGGGGGCTGGACTAGAAGACCTCCAAGGTCCTTCCAGCTTCTATTCTACTCTACTCTACTCTACTCTACTCTACTCTACAGTATCTGACCTCTGTAGTATTTCTATCTTAGCTACAAACATTACTTTTACAGAGTAGAGGTTATTTTATACAACCACTAGCACTCATTTGAAAGTGGCCTCAGAAAAATTGCTAATTGTGTTGTGGAGAAGAGTTGATACTATCTTGCACATAGCTTGCATCATGAATGACTTTATTCACAATTCTCAAGGTTCCCAGTGATAGGGATAGAGAGATATAAACAAAAACGTTAGATATACACGCTGTTCCCAAGCTATATAACATATACCATAAGGTCAGTTGTGACTGTGTTTATATTATATGCTGATTTGCAATCTAGTCAACCATACTTTAGATAAGAATGTTTCTTAGCCTTAGCAATTTTAAGATGTGTGGACTTCGCCTCCCAGAATTCCCCAGTTAGCATTACTGGCTGGGAAATTTGGGGAGTTGAAGTCCACACTTCTTAAAATTGCCAAGGTTGAGAAATACTGCCCTAGAATTAAATCCAATTGGCAAATGTGCAAAGAATTTATAGCTGTATCCCAAGAAACCCCAAAATTGCACTAAGTAAATTATAGCTTAGTTAACCCCAGGCAAGCATGTGCAATCAAGGTAGGCTGCCACCAATTTTTCTCCTCCTTTCTGGAAGAAAAGAATTGGAATTAGAATAACAGTTGGAAGGGACTTTGTATGTCATCTAGTCCAAACCCCCCCCCCCCCCGCCAAACAGGAGACCCTGCCTACACGATTTTTGACAGGCAATCCAGTCTCTTCTTGAAAGCTTCCAGTGAAGCTCCCACAACATCTGAAGGCCAACAAGAAAAGTACCTCTGTTGCCGTGAGACAGCTCTGAAAACAGCGTCCCAAAGAGGGAAACTCGGATTCCTTGTCTAATCTGCCACCAAGGCGGCAGAGCCAGGACTTTTCTTAGGCAAGCAATGGGAATGAATCAAAGTAACGCCAGCATTTGCCTGAAGCGATGCAAAGCTCGGCGGCTATTTTTGCAGCCTGCTCCCTGCTTTTTCCAGGTAGGATCCCCTGTTCGGCTCCGAGGCTCAGACGCGGGTTGGGGTGGGGGAGGAATCCGTCGGCGGCGACAGCGGGGTCCGAGCAATCGCCCTGCTTGGCAGCCAGCCGCAGTGGCGGCGGAAGGGCGGTCCTTCACCCCACGCTTTCCCGACTCACCGGGGCCCTTCAGGCCGGCATCGGCGTCGCCGCTCTCCGGGCCGGCGGCGGGCAGCGGCTGCTGCTGAGGTTCGGCGTCCGTGTTGGTCAGCCAAGTGGACTCGGTCTCCCTGGTCCAGCTCTCGTAATAGCGCGGCTCGATGGCATCGGCGCGGCTCCCGCCGCAGCCCATCCCGGCCCCGGCCGCTCAGCGCCGGCTCCGCGCAGCAGCAGCAACAACAGCTCCCTTTCTCCGCTACCCTCTGCCAAGGGCGCTCGCCTTCGCCTCCTTCCGCGCTCTCTGCCTCGCGGCTGATGGCCCTCCGCCTGCAGCTGCCTCCCGAGTCTTGTGGCGCCTGCCTTGCCCCCCCCCCACTCCCTCCCTCTTCCCCCTCCCCGCTGCTTACGGGTTTCCCTCGTTCCGCCTCCCCCGCTTCTGCTCCTGCTCGCTGGCGGAGGATGAGGGCTCGCCGCCTTAGCGGAGGATTGAGGAAGCCCCCGATGGCCGGGGGAAGGACTCCTCTCGTTGTTGTCCTTCCTCTTCTTCTTCCTCCTTCATATTTTTCTTCTTTCTTTGCCTTCTCTCTCTCCTCCTTTCTCCCTCTCCTCCTCCTCTTCTTTCTTCTTTTCCCTCTTCTTCTTTCCCCCCTCTTCCCTCTCATCCTCTTTCTCCTCCTCCTCCAAGTACTCAGCAGTTTGATGAGCCTGCTCTGCAAAGTTTCTTAGCCTCAAGTTAAAGAATTAAAATGATTTTTACAGGGGAAAGAAAGAAATCTGCAATAACAACTTTGTAATGTCTCCTTGCATGTTGGCTATATAAACAATGTATTATTTTTTATTTTGAAAAAAAAATAAAGGTTAATTTCATTTATCCCTTGTGAGATTGGGCTATCTTCTAGGAAGTAAAGAAAATTAGCTGGATCCATTGGCCACATGCTTTGATGTTCTGTAGCCACAAGATGGCATTATAATTGCTATTTCATTTTTTTCTTTTTATACTTTTTGTCAATGACCTCCAAGATGACACCTGATTGGCTCTCTAAACACTCATGCTCGTTGACTACAATCAGATAAAGGAAAGCTACCTGATATCAACCTAAGCAAGTTCCTTTTTCTGGTTATTTGGCTATAATGTTTCATAGAATACAGATAATTGAACAAGCTTTGTTGTATTACATTCTTGATTAAATTATCTTTCCATTGATATATCATGTTATGGTACTACTCCAAAATAAAGTGGTGTTATTAGCCATCAAACCTCAAATGTACACTTTTCCCAAAAGGTTTCCACAATTTTGGCCATTACTGTACATGCCAATGCTGTGTTGGCCATAATTGCTGCTATATAATAATTAAAGTATTGAGTAGAACTGGGGAAACCCAGGTTCAAATCCATCCTTGAATTGTTTTAGAATAGAATAAAGCTGGAAGGGACCTTGGAAGTCTTCTAGTCCAGCCCCTTGCTCAAGCAGGAGAACCTATACCATTTCAGACAAGTGACTGTCTAGTCTCTTCTTAAAAACAGGCAAGCTGTTCCACTGGTTAATTGTCCTCACTGTTAGGAAGTTTAACCTTAATTCTCTTTGGTCAGTTTCCAACCATTGTTTCTTGTCCTGTCCTCTGGTGCTTTGGAGAATAGTTTAATGCCCTCTTCTTTGTGTCAGCCCCTCAAATACTGTTATGTCTCCCCTATTTCTTATTTTCTTTAGACTAGCCAAACCCAAGTCCTGCAGCCATTATTCATATGTTTTAGTCTTCAGGCCTGTGATCATTTTAGTTGCTCTTCTCTGAATTTTTTCCAAAGTCTCAACATCTTTTTTGTGATAGGATGACCAAAATTGGTTGCAGTAATCCAGGCGTGGTCTTACTAGGGTTTTATAAAGCAGTACTAATACTTCACATGATCTTGATCCTATGCCGCTGTTTATACAATCCAGCATTGTATTAGCCTGCTTGGCTGCTGCTGCACACTGCTGGCTCATAGTCAAGTGATCATCCACTAGGACTCCAAGGCCCCTCTCACAGTTGCTGTTTTTGAGCCAGGTTTCACCTAATCTGTACTTATACCTTTGATTTTTCCTGCCTAAATGTAAAACTTTGCTTATCTCCACATTAAAATTCATTTTGTTGGATAGGGACCATTGTCCAAGTTTGTCAAGACCTTTTTGGATCCTGAGCTTGTCTTCTGGGTTGTTGGCTATTCCTGCCAGTTTAGTGTCATCTGCAGATTTGATGAGTTCCCCTTCTATTTCTTCATCTAAGTAATTTATGAAGATATTAAAGAGTACTGGGCCTAAGACAGAGCCTTGTGGTAGCCCACTACTTACTTCTCTCCATGTGGATATAGCACCATTGAGGACTACTCATTGAGTATGGTTTGTCAGCCAGTACAGATCCATCTGGTGGTGGTGTTGTCTACGGCTATCCCATCTTTTTCTAGCTTACTAAGCAACAGGTTGTGGTCTACTTTGTCAAATGTATATATGCTGTATTCTGTTTTTAGCAACTATAGAGTGTTAGGTTGCTTGAATAACATTTCCAAAGCTTGCCAGTACACATTTGTATGGCCTCTGTCTAGAATTACGTATTTTAGCTCTTAATAGTCAAAACTGTTTCCAATATGATACTCAAGTCCTTTGCTCAATGGATAATGGGAGAAATTGCCTAGGCTGCCTATATATTTAATGAAGTTGGAAAGAGTTTAAAGTGTTTTTGGTCCCAAGGTAAATCCAAGCAAGAATATATAGAAATGGAAGAAAATGCAGTCTCATCATACAGTAACAAGTGACTTAAAAGGCAGGCAGCCTTGAGGTCTCTAAAATGAAGTCCAAATTAATAAGAGTCACAACTCTCTCTAGTATGAGAACATATAGGGAAAAAAGGAAAGATACCTGCATAGGTTCTGTAAGACCTTCCTTCCTGCAAAATACTAGTGATGGGGCCAAAACAGCTCTAAAGCTAAATCATCAAGTACAAAGCCTGTAGGTTCAAATCCCATTAAAGGGTTGAGTATAAAACAGTGAGTATAGAGAAAAACTATCACCAAAGAGACCCAGTAAGGGCAAAATCAACTGGTCTGTAGTTAATATAATATCTTAGGTAATCCTCGAGCCATCTAAAGAAAGAATTCTGTACCAGGTTAATCCTTCCAATTTGAAGACAGAGGCATCCAAAGATGAGAAATGCAGCACAGTACCACCAATTCATTGGGAGAGCTTTTCACCAACCAGCCATTGCAAATGAAAGTAAAATGGGGACAACTTGTAAAGTTATACCAGCTTGGGCCATTGTGGTGCCAGATCACTGGTTAACTCATTTATTCATGGTTCAGGGAAACTTAGGTAATTTGTTTTGTGTCAATGCAACCAAAACATTTTCAGGATCTGCTTCTTAAAAAAAAAGTAATTATTGAAAGCTTAACTAAGGCCAAGTAGTAGTTCAGGAGGCTAAGAGATCTCCTAGCTCAGATTCACACTTACATTCCAAATAAAGGATTGTGCTGCCTTTTATAATAAGATATAAACTTATTTGAGTAGACTTATATGCAAGCTAAGTTCAAATATTGTGCTAACCTACAATATATACAGTGTTTCTCAACCGTGGCAACTTGAAGATGTATGGACTTCAACTCCCAGAATTCCCCAGCCAGCCAAACAGAAACACTGTTAGAACAAGTGGCTGAGTTCATAAATCACACTAAGCGATTAAACTCAGCCAAAAAACCACAGATCAGTGATTTGAACTTCTCCTTTGGATTCATACAACATATTAAGTTGAAACTAGACAATCATATTCTGGCTTAATAAGACGTGTGAAAGGAACGAGCATGTAATAAAACATCTTTCACTTCCAGGATGCTGGCAATAGTTCCATTCTGGAAAAAAATGCAATTATTCCTCATTGAGGGAGCAACAGAATAATGTTCTGGGAAAGAAGGAAATGAAGATGATACCATCCTGTTTCAATATTGATGCAAAAACCTATTCTTAGTAGCATTTTAATGAGTCAGTTTAGGGAGGGAAAGGTTATTTTACGGAAAGTGGAATCTTTCATTATGTCTGTTCCATACAATAGCCTAGCAGCACACAGCCACTGCCTGGCAACTAGTGAGTCAGGATTGTGTACACAAATAAAATGGATTATATTTCTAAACACTGACATATGTTCTTTCCTTTGTAGCAACCTTCGTTCTCAAAATCTTAACATTTCCTTCTCTCCAAAGACCTTGCTAGGGGAAAACATTTTGAAATACAGAATTTCTGCTGCTCTGGATTCTAGAAAATGTAACCCATCTCATCCCTTTTTTAAAAGAGACTTACAAGACAAGTTTTAGAAAGGAGGGTTAAGTTCAGAGAAGGGATAGCATTTTTTAAAAAAAGCCTGAAAGGAAGTCATATAGAAGATAAAGATACTGTCCTACAAGATCATAGATCAAAGTTGGGGGTGGGATTCCCAACTGTAGGAATTTTTGACAACTGCAACAATTTTGAGGATTATAGCTGGTTCTCTTTTGTTGAATGTACCCATGCAGAAGCTAAGCAACATTGGTCAAGAATGCTTTAATTTGGGTTTTGGTACAAGAAGTGAGGACTTGGACTCCATGGCCAAAGAATTCTTCTTCCATTTCTGTGATCTTATGACCCACTGAGCAAATGGAATAAACTGGCTAGCTTTTTTTTTTTTAACCTTGCTAAATTGGTATTCTCTGCTTGTTGATATATTTCCCACAGGGGGACACCATTTTCATAGAACCTTTCTGGATAATGGGTTTTACTACTAAGCTGAAGTTTCAAGTAGAAACCCCGCCCATCAAATACATCTTTCTCTTTTTTATGTTGTATTGTTTCTTTCTTTTAAACAGAAATATCTTGTCTTCTCTGCCATTTTTTTCTTGGTTATTATTTTCATGGATTATTTTACTCATGGACATTAGGTGCCTTGAGATACCAGCAAGGACGTGAATTCTAAGTGCTGAAAATAAATGTGAAAAATGGAGACTAACCACAGATGGCAAAGATACTCCCCATTTTAATTCAGATCAGTGTATTCAAATTAGACATTGTAGACTCTGCAATGACTATTACTCAAGGAGGATATTCTTCCCTGACAGCTGATGGATATTAAGCTCTGCAGAAGATGGTGTTGCTTGGCAACAGAGAATAATTCTAAAGAACAACCTTTGTTAAAATGGCAGCTTTTCAAAAATAAAGAGAAACGTGGGACAGGTAGAGAACAAGGAAGGAGAAACAACAACTAAAAGAGGAAAAGGGAAATGGCTTTTTTCCAAGTCAGAAAATTATAGAATCAGTTTTTGTGCTCTGGCTGCAATGGAAACATTGCATTATGTATAGCATCAAAATGAAGCATATGTCTCATAGATAGGAAATCAACTGTAAAACAGATGGCCTTGCAATTCAAAATACTACTTTAACAAAGTAATATTTGTCATTGCTATCCAAATGTCAGGTTACCTTGAAGCAAACTTTGCAGAAATAAAAAAAACAATACCCAGAGTCAGCTTGTAGAGGAAATGGGTAGCATAAAAATTTAATTTAAAAAACAATCTGATAAAAATAGGAAATATCTTATATCCAAGAGATTATGCAAAGGTGAACCGTGCATTCATGTGAGCACACTTGTAAGCATATTTGCTAAGGAAAAAAGAAGCATCTGTACCAAGGGAACGTAGCTGCCCCCACTAAACTGTGATTGGCAGACGATCATTCCAAAATAAATATTAAGAGTTCCAGAAGTCACAGAATTGATTTGTGTGTCTTAAAATTAAGAACAGCAATAATTTATAGAAGCACACTCAGATTACTAAGGAGAAATATAGCTCTGACCCACGTGGAATATTATACTGAGGCAGGAAACTTAAGGCATACAATATAATGTTTAATTGCATATATTTGAGTAATGAGGATATAACTGTTCTACCAAACCATTATTTTGATTTTTCTGTACAAGAAGTCTAAGTAGCAGATATTCTTTTTAAAAGAAAATTCGTTTCTCAGGATTTTGCGTAGTTTCAAACTTTATTTACTAGACTT